ATAGATACTGCGCAAGTCTCAGCAATTTAAACTAATTTACGCGCAAGTCGCCCCTCTGAACCAACCTGTTTGGAGAGTACGGCGGACATCGTCGGACACTTTTGTCGTCAAACGATGATAGATGGTGGAGGGATAATATATATGACTGGGGTGGGTTCGCGCCGGTAACCGACAGTGATCTAACGATGTGCTGACGGTGTACGTCCTTGACCGGGGAGTGAACCACGCCAATCAGTCGCGTTGGCATAGGGTGTGCTAACAGGCTGGGTAGGGGGACGTTAGGGAGCAACCGCATGTTGGCCGAATAGCAAAAATACATGGCTACTTACTTAATCGAAGTAGCATGAGTACCTGTGTAATTATTTTGGTGGGGCCTCGGCTTAAGGGCGATGCCAAATGACGGAGTCGGTGTCACCTTCTTCAAACCACGAACCTCGGGCTCCTATATTCGTCCCCATTTTATTTACGAAATTATTTCAACATACCTCCACACTCAGTCAGTTTAAAGTACTTTGTTTAGTCAGCATTCAAAGACGCAACAAATGCACATGCAAGATGAATAAGGTCTGCTTCGGCAACCCACCAACTGGCTGACTTCAGGCTTGTTGCCTTCCACATATTCGAGAATTGTGTTCATTCCGGGAGCCGCTGCTGATGCCGGAATGCCGCCACCGCCGCCAACGAGCGAGGTAGAGTAGTTGTGCTCTACGATGCGCGAGGTCAACGGCTGCTGCTGCTCCTGTTGCCTGAAATCAGCATAAGAGGTGGCAGAGGGCACGGTGTTGGCGGGAGATTCCGAGCGGCACTCTTTTGGTAGTCTGTAGGAAGAAAGAAAAAAATGCTCCCTTCTAAACTGCACAAATTCAGGAAATGGGAATGCCTGCGTGCGTGTGAACTAAACGTTAGTTAGCGCGTGCACATCGGACTTAATTGAGATGCGTGTTCTTGGCACAATCCGGTGTCTAACCCGGTCATGTACGGCACAAATAGACGAGCTATTCAGCTCTGTCAGCTGCTGCTTCAAACTCGATGTCTACTCGCCTTGAATCGGCCTTGCCACTAGGTTCACGAGGAGAGAGTTCCGTAGATGCTGCGCAAGTCTGTCGTCACTATAAAACTAACGACCACATCATTTCATCTAACACAACAGCAACAGGATGGAAGCGACGGACCAGATCCAAGTTCGCACAACGTGTACCAAGCATACGACACATTGGCTGTTGTGAAAATTGATAAACAGTGAGCATTCCGCATAAAATTGAATGCTCTATGAATTTAGTGAAAGTAAATATCGAAACGAAAGTTGATAGAATTGTCAAAGACTAACTGATTAATAATTGTGCTGCACATAGGTGTACCGCAGCGACACCTTCGTAGCCCATACGAGGGAGCATTATACCTTAAGCGAAGGCAGCTACATCGGCAGTCAACATAATGGAGAAGCAATTTGCTGCTTTGACGAAACGTACTGATCCGCAACCGATTATCACCGACATATTTTTTTCAAAATGAGGACCCAAGTGATTTTGACGCGCGATTCCACGAGAGAAAGCATAACTCAACCTCCCCCCCCTCATCGGAATCCAATAGGCCGTGAAACCGAAGACTCGGCGAACTTATTGGAAGACAACTTAAAGAACATCAGGTAGTAGTGGTACACAAACCCAACCCCATTGGTCCCCCAGCTAATAAACCCGAAGGAATCAGCCTGGTACTTAGCAACCTCACTCAGGACCGTCCTTGGGGTTAGTTAACATAGCAGCCTCTTCCTCTGGAATGTAACTGAGCTGTCCTGTTACGCTTGGGACAGGAGACGTATCCAGATTCCAGCATCCTTGGGCGACTGGAGGCTGTGGACGGATACGAGGCATGCGAACTGGGTTTCAAGGGAAGGACCGAGCTGAACCACCCACACTCGCGATTGACGATGC